CATACACCCTGCCTCTCATACACCCTGCCTCTCATACCCCCTGCCTCTCATACACCCTGCCTCTCATACACCCTGCCTCTCATACACCCTGCCTCTCATACCCCCTGCCTCTCATACACCCTGCCTCTCATACACCCTGCCTCTCATACACCCTGCCTCTCATACCCCCTGCCTCTCATACACCCTGCCTCTCATACACCCTGCCTCTCATACACCCTGCCTCTCATACCCCCTGCCTCTCATACACCCTGCCTCTCATACACCCTGCCTCTCATACACCCTGCCTCTCACAGACCCTGCCTCTCATACACCCTGCCTCTCATACACCCTGCATCTCATACACCCTGCCTCTCATACACCCTGCCTCTCATACACCCTGCCTCTCATACACCCTGCCTCTCATAGACCCTGCCTCTCATACACCCTGCCTCTCATACACCCTGCCTCTCATACACCCTGCCTCTCATACACCCTGCCTCTCATAGACCCTGCATCACGTAAAGCCTGTGTACACCGAGCTGCCTCAGATCCACAGTGCACAGCTTTCTGGACGTTGTCTGGCCTTACATGCTGTCATCACTGTTCATGAATGGTTTGTTGATCGGGTCAGGTCTGTAAACGGACAGAAGCCTCAGAAAYGACTCAGACCCCCGAGTGTTTTCCCCGCCGCCTGTCTGGACTTGTGTGTAGTGTTAGAGGGAAGTCCTGGAGCGAGTCGGACCTCCAGGCTTTAAGAACGAGTTCTGATCCAGATCATGTTCCTCTCTTCTTTTTCATTTTCTTTTCTTTTTTTAAAATAACTGTGTTTAATTTTTTTATTACTATATTGAATTCTGTACCTGACTGTAATTTCCGTGAAAACACAAATGAAATGATGTCATTTCAGTGATTCTGAAGGTAAATTGTGAGCAGAGGGTCAAACTGAATGCTTTTATGTTTTGTATAGACCAATGAAATGTACAATTGTGTCAATAACTTAAGTTATCAGTTTATCTTAATAAAGCGCACCAGTCATAAACATTTCACTGATCAGAATTTTCATTTTGTTTTCATTAAAGCAAAAGGGAGAAGTTGTAATCTTTATATTTACTTTGAGTTTTTAAATAGTTCCTTCCAGGTTTTATATTTTTATAAAGGAGAGTGATTTAGTTCAGGCTGAAACACGTTCCACTAAAACTGGTTTCAGGAAAGATTTTCTTATTTTAGTGTTTCTGAAGATGAGAACACGTGATGAAGAGTTTCAGGTTTTATTTTGCTCTATTATTTTTACCACCATGTGTAATGATGAAACATTAGAACTAAACAACTTTGGTCACAACATGATTAATGTCTAAACTTCCATGTTGGACTCAAATATTAGTTTGTTGGACTTTGTGTCTAATAAGATATTTAGTGCTAAAAATAAAGTGACACTTATTTTTTAAAACTGACTTAAACCATCAAAATCATTTCAGAGAAACATGATTGGAGCCTCATGTGGAGAAAAGGTTGTAGTAATATKTGAGCAGCTCTGAGGTGAAACCACCCTGACGTCACAATGATTAATGTAAAGTAAGACTTTAAACATAGCTTTACCTTTAAAGAAAAAAAACCCTGATTTGTTTTCATTTGAAACTTTAATTGTTTTTACATTTTTATCTAAGCTGTGGARTCATCTTCATAATCATCATGTGTTCTGGTTGGTTTAATAAAGCTACTGCCAACTATTTTGTTAAAAATAAAATACTTGATGGGTTTCTGGTTAGGGGGACAATAGTAAGTGTTTCTCCTCTTTCATCTTCTCTGAAGAGTGGCAGCATGGGAG